CATGCCCAGCAAGCTCTTTTAATATATATGATATATAATGTATGTGTACATATTATAATATATGCATAATATATACATACTAAATATATACAATTATATATTAAATATTTACATATTACATATATTAATATATATATTAATTTTATATTTAATTTGTATGCATGTGTATATATCTACATATATATTACTGAAGTATATTGTTTCTTTTAAAAGGAGCTACTTGACAATCTTAACTAAGTAATGCAGGTTAGTATCATAGTAATGAGGCAAATAAATTGACAGTTCGTGTACTTCATGATGAATCCCACATTGAGGACAAAGTTACTTGTCATATTACTGCCAAGAAAAGGATCACTGTAGTCATGAGGAATCCTAAGACACACAAATTAAAACACTTTCTTCAAAACCAACTGGCCTATACTCAGAAAATGCCAGTCATTAAAGAGAAAGAAAAGAAAGGGGGTAAAGGTGTAACTTAGAGCAAGTGCTTAGCATTTCTGAGGCTCTGAGTGCAATTCCCAGCACCAAAGAGATAGAGAGAGGAGGTAACTGTTGCATCCTGAAGGACCAGACAAGTAAATACAACATGTGACCCTCAAGCAGGAAAAAACAACAACAACAACAAAAAACCCTACTGATTTACTTAGCTATAAATCAGAGGTTCCCCAAAGTTTGGCTAAGGAGCCCTGAGAGATCCTAAAGACCTTTCAGAAAATACATAAAGCTGAAACTATTTTAGTGCATAACTATTTTATAATTCTCACTTTTTTTTTTTTTTGCCAGTCCTGGGGCTTGAACTCAGGGCCTGTCCTTTAGCTTCTTTTGCTCGTCTAGCATTTGACTACTTGAGCCACAGTGCCACTTCTGGCCTTTTCTGTTTATATGGTACTGAAAAATGCAACCCAGGGCTTCATAGATGCTAGCCACATACCCAGCCCATTCCTCACATTTTTTATTAATTTATTCTTCTTACAGAGGCGATGTATGGAGGGATTACAATTATGTAAGTCAGGTAATGAGTACATTACCTTTCGTACCGTGTCTTCTGTTCTTCGCATGCTTTTAGCAAGACTATAAACTAGGTCCTGACATCATGGTGTTTGAAAATTCCTGCAATAAAGTACATTAGTGAAATGATTGGAAAAATCAGAATAATATTTATAGATTTGAAAAATAGTACTATATTTCAAATAGTATGATGCCAATGCTATTTCCCATGCTGTGATGGCACAGGGGACTATTCTTGTTTTTAGGAATCACATCTTAACTGTGGAGAGAGGGGTATGGTGTATGCAACTTACTCTCAAACAGCACAGAAAAACAATAATGTGTATTTGTGCACGTGGAAAGAGAAGAGTATAAAAGCAAACATGGTAAAATGCTAGTGTGGGGAAACTGAGTAAAGGATGTAAAATAACAGTCTGTATTATTTACAAAGGTTGAGCTTTCTACAAGTGTGAAATTATTTCAATAATAAAAAACCAAGCCTTAATCTTGCTTGTAAGGTTCTAACAACAATGTCACCTGAGCCTTTCCCCTTCCTCTTCCCGAGCTTTATTGACCAGGCCTTGTGTGTGTCCTTCCCTTGCCTCGATACCCACTTCAGTCAGGCCTTCATTAACACTGGGATGTTTTCCTTCGTGCTAGGTTCTCCTAGAAAGCACCAGAGTCACCATTATATACCCAGGCCTGGCATCATGCCTGAAACATATAGGTATTCATGAATTTTTTTTCCTTCCTTCCTTCCTTCCTTCCTTCCTTCCTTCCTTCCTACCTTCCTTCCTTTCTCAGTGCTGCATATTGAATTCAGGCTCTTACCTGTGCTAGGCAAGTGTTCTACTGAACTACATTCCCAGCCCTACACTTTTTATATTTTTGTCTGTTGTGGGGCTTGAACTCAGGGCCTGGGCACTGTCCCTGAGCTTTTTTATTCAAGGCTAGCACTCTACCACTTTGACCCACAGCAACACTTCCAGTTTTCTGGTGGTTAATTGGTGATAAGAGCCTCAGGGACTTTCCTGCCTGGGCTGGCTTTGAATTGTGATCCTTAGATCTCAGCCTCCTGAGTAGATAGGATTACAGGTGTGAATAACCAGCATCAGGCAAGCCCTACACTTGTGTTAATAAGTGTTTTTATGGCTCCGTGAATGAATGAATAAATCAAACTCAATCTGAATCCTAATCCTAACTTCTTGGTTATGCATTGAATGTCTTCTCTGCAGATGTGGACCAGGCCACCTACATCCCTTCAGCAAAGCCTCGTGTCTGCTCGCCCCCAAGGAACCTCCTTCATAGCACAAGCCAGGCAGCTCCTACCCGCTGGAGCAACAGGTCTCAATAGGATATGCTCACCCTTGACATAAAGACAACGCTTCTGGAAGATATTCATATGGCTCCTTTCTGATTTCATTCTAGTCTCTTTCAAAGTCATTTTGTTTGGGAGGTCTTTATAAACCAGTCCTCAATAGTACTTTGACAGCTCCTCATACCATTCTCTTTACCTTACCATCATTTTCTCCATGACCCTTGTTGACATCTGGTTGGCACTGTATATACTCTTCTTTCTTTCTTTCTTTCTTTCTTTCTTTCTTTCTTTCTTTCTTTCTTTCTCTCTTTCTTCCTTTCTTCTGAGTCTCTATGTACACAGGCTGGCCTCAAACTCATGATCCTTCTGCTGCAGCTTCCTGAATGCTTGGGGTTACAGGTATGTACCACCATGCTAGCATAGGTAGCTAGACAGGTATTTGCTGGACAGGTGATTTATCATTTGTCTTTGAGAGTGATAAGGAGCCTTTGAGCATTCTCAAGTGCGTTGAGACAGCTCACACTGCACACGAGGTCCTCAAAATGTCCCACTGCTTAGTGAAGAATGCACACATAGCTTTGGTCCAGATGATTCCTTATGTAAGTAGTAAAGAAGTCTCAAAATTTCCTTGAACTTCAAGGAATTCTCAGTCACTCAGAAGGTAGCATATGCATCCTGTGAACACCTACAGCAATCCAGTGAAAAATGTCTTTGGCTATTTAGGAAATATAAATAAATTAATTAATATAAAAATAAATTAATCTACCCCTTATCTCCATTAGTTGGTTTAATTTAATTTATTTTATTTTATTTTATTTTTTGCCAGTTCTGGGGCTTGAACTCAGGGCCTGGGCATTATCCCTGAGTTTCTTTGGCTTAAGGCTAGCACTCTACCACTTGAGCCACAGCACTACTTCTGGATTTTTATTTTTTTTTGTCAGTCATGGGCTTGAACTCTGGGCCTGGGTGCTGTCCCTCAGCTCTTCAGCTCAAGGTGAGTGCTCTACCACTTGAGCCACAGTGCCATTTCCGGTTTTTTGGTGGTTTTATTGGAGATAAGAGTCTCACAGCCTTCCCTGCCCAGGCTGGCTTTGAAACTCAGATCCTCAGATCTCAGCCTCCTGAGTAGCTAGGATTACAGGCATGAGCCACCAACGCCCGGCTACTTCCGGCTTTTTCTGTTTATGTGGTACTGGGGAACCCAGGGCTTCATGCATGCTAGACAAGACTGTATCACTAAGCCACATTCCTAGCCCTCCATTAGTTTTGATTAACTTAATCTCATTAACTAGTAAAAATAACAATGCACACAAACACAATTTGGTTTATTTGCTTTGAGACTGAGTCTTGCTAGCCCAGGCTGGCCTTGAACTTGAGATCCTCTTGTCTCATCTTCTTTAGTTTGTTGATTACTGGTGAGGGGGTGGGAGAGAGGGGCTGGGGTGCTGTCTTTTAGCTTTTGTGCTCAAGGCTGGAACATATAGCTCCACTTTTTACTTTTTGCTGGTAATTGTAAGAGTCTCACAGACTTTCCTGTTTAGGCTAGCTCTCAATGACAGTCCTGAGATCTCAGCCTCTTAAGAAGCTAAGATTATAGGAGTCAGCCACCTGGTGCCCGGCAGTATTTTTTCTTTTTTTTAAATCAGTGCTGAGACTTCTCCCTAGGACCTTAGAGCTACTAGACAAACACCATCACAGAGCCACTTCCCCAGCCTTATTTTCTCTTTGAGTCATACTTCAAGCCAGGTAATTTGACTTGAACCTTACATCCTAGATACTTGAGAGGTAGAGCTAGGTTAGCTTAAGTTAAAAAAAAAGTTTGTAGCCAGGTGCCGTGGCTCATGCCTGTAATCCTAGCTACTCAGGAGGCTGAGGTCTGAGGATCGCAGTTCAAAGCCAGCCTGGGCAGAAAATTCCTGTGAGATTATTATCTTCAATTAACCACCAGAAAACTGGAAGTGGAGCTGTGGCTCAAAGTGGTAGACTGCTAGCCTTGAGTGCACAGACTGCACCCAGGCCCTGAGTTCAATCCCCATGTCCGAAAATAAATAAGTAAACAACACAAAAAGGGACTGGAGACCTGACCCGGGTGGTAGAGTGATAGCCTAGCAAGCCTCAGTCCCTGCGTTCAATCCTAGTACCACCAAACGAAAATTTTTTTTCTACCTTTGCATGGATTTTTTTTGTTTTCCCCTTCATAATGAAAGCTAAGAGAAAAAGAAGGCATTGTATTGAACAGAGAAGCTACAAGTTTCTGGATGTTGACTAATTATATTTACCTATTTCTATCAGATTAACCAAGTTTGGTTAATTAGGAAAAGAAATTTCTATGAAGTTTTCCTGATCCGGCGATTTGTTAAGCAAGTTTAAATTCATGACCAGGTTTTCTTCTTCCTTTTCTATAAAAGTGAGGAGAAGAATGGGGACCGTGTGCAAGGAGGCGGGTCTCACTTTCCCTGGGCCTGACTGAACGTTAACTTCTCTACTAATTCAATAACAGGGAGCCCCAGGCTTTGCTTAACCCCAGGAACTGGTCATGGGCCTTTGACCTCCGCTCTCCCCTCCTCACCAGCTCCCTCCCCCACCTTGTCCTCTGGACCTCAGGCAGATTTAGAAGAAGGAACAGTTGTCAGAGGACAGCTTGCCTCAGACCAGGCTCTGTCCACTGACCCAGCCCTGGGGCAGCTAAGCGGCCATGTTTTCCAATAGGAGAGGAATGGTGGCTCCTGGAGAAAGGTAAGTGGGTAGACGCCCTCTTTGCAGGCTCGTGTTGGGTTTTCTGACCTCTAAAGAGCTCACCAGCATGACCTCTGGCACCTTTGAAAAGACTAGGCCCTCTCCCTGGTCTTTATAAACGGAGGCCGGGGAGTGCCCCCCCCATCTCTCCAGCTAAGGCCTTTCCCAAGCCACACCTTAGGTTTTCTCAGGTCAGGAGGCAAGAGGGATCGTCTTTCTTTGTGTGAAAATTGGCAGTCCAGAAGATGCTGCAAGATGTTCCCAGGGAAATCCCCAGAGTCCGCAGTACATCTACGAGCAGGCTTGGGTGATCCGTCAGGGCCTCCTAATCCCTCTTGGCTCCCCATTATCCTTGGTTGTCACACTGCTGAGGATCTCTGTGACCTTCGACAGTCAAAGTCCTGTGCCATTTTTTGGACTGAGATTCCCTCTCTTGGGTGCCACACATGGAAAGCCTCTCCTTGATCTGGGTTTGCCACTGAAGGCTAGAAGTTGGCTGATGTGTTGTTTGTGTGTAACAGAGCTCTCGGGGGCAGCCCATGCTCCAGCTACTGTTTGCATTTATTTTCAAATGTACCTAAACTGGAAAACAGAGGGGAGGTGATCCAGATCTTCTCCTCTCCCACCCCCTCTCCTTTTTATTCCACCTTTTATCTTCCCTCAGTGTCTCCATTTCCCTACCACTCTGCTGCAGTGTTGGCCTCATACCACACAGAAAGACAAATCCCCCAGTGGCCTGGAACTTGGAGCTAGCCCCTTGCTTGCCAAGCAGATTGCCTCCCTGGGTCTTCTCCATGCCCTATGCTGTCATTTTCATCCAAGGGGAGGCCGAGATGTCAGCAGCCATATACAGACTCCTTTCTTGGGACCCACAGATCCTGGGCTTCGTCTCCTTCTCATAGCTACAAAACTATTATGAAGACTTTGTCTCTTAGTTTATTGTTCTGGGTATCCTTGGGCTTGAGCTCAGGGCCTGGGCGCTGTCCCTGAGCTTCTTTTGCTCAAGGCTAGCACTCTACCACTTGAGCCACAGTGCCACTTCCAGCTTTTTCTGTTTATGTGGCACTAAAGAATTGAGCCCAGGGCTTCAAGCCTGTTAGGCAAGCACTCTATCACTGAGCCACATTTCCAGCTCCTCCAAATTTTCTTAATTTGCCAATGTTGCTATCACATATTCGTTTGTTTTTGTTTTGAGGCAGGGTCTCAGTCTGTATCTTAGGCTGACATTCATTGCACTAGAGATTTTACTGCCTAGACTCCTTGTGTGCTAGGATTACAGGCATGTACCACCATACCTGGCTACAACTCCTTTTTTTTTGGTCGGTCATGGCCTGAACTCTGGGTCTGGGCACTGTCCCTCAGCTCTTCAGCTCAAGGCTAGCGCTCTACCACTTGAGCCACAGCGCCACTTCTGGCTTTTTCTGCTTATGTGGTGCTCTACCACTGAACCACCTTCCCAGACCTACAACTCATTTTTTTAAACAGTGAGATGAGCTTCTTTTACATTTAATGAACCCTTGTTGGAAGCTATTACCATTTTCAACTGTTGAGTCACAGTGGCTTATAGAAGTCACAAGGACTGTGGTTCAAGACCAGTCCAGGGGATAAAGTTCAAGAGACACCCCCTTCCCCATCTCAACCAATGTCTGGGCATGGTGGTTCATGTCTGTCATTACAGCGTAAATAGGAGGACTATAGTCTGGGAGGAAATGTGAGACTCTATTAAAAAAATAACTAAAGCAAAAAAGTCTGGGGACATAGATCAAGTGATAGAGCACCTGCCCAGCAGGTGAGAGGTCCTAAGTTCTACCCCCCACTACCACTAAAAAACAAAAAACTAGGTAACAGAAAATGATGAAGGCCGGGCACCGGTGGCTCATATCTGTAATCCTACCTACTCAGGAGGCTGAGATCTGAGGATTGTAGATCAAAGCCAGCCTAGGCAAGAAAGTCTGTGAGACTCTTCTGTCCAATTAACTACCAGAAAATCAGAAGTGGTGCTGTGGCTCAAGTAGTAGAGCACTAGCCTTGAACTGAAGAGCTGAGGAACTGTACCCAGGCTCAGAGTTCAAGCTCCACAACCAACCAAAACAAACAAAAAGTATTGAAGGCTTAAACTAAGGTCGTGGTAGTAACAGGTAAAAAGACAAGAAAGCTGAATGAATGGAATCTGGGGTCTGACTAAACAAGGAGCGTCCCGGTCACACTCATGTTTCTGAGCTAGATGCCAGGAGACACAAGAGTCTGTCTCCCTCCTTCACTGTTGGACATGCAAAGCAAAACAGGCGTATGGTGAGAATTGTGTTTAGTTGGAGTTTGCAGGTGGATATGTTCATCTCACCAACAGGCGCTTTACATTCTTTTCCTCCCTCCCTCCCTTCCTCCCTCTTCCCCCCTCTCTTCCCCCTTTCTTTCTTTCTCTTTCTTTCTCTCTTCCCTCCTTCCTTCCTTCCCTCCTTCCTTCCTTCCTTCCCTCCTTCCTTCCTTTCCTTCTTTTTGTCAGTGGTAGGGCTTGAACTCAGGGCCTGTGGGCTGTCCCTGAACTTTTTGCTCAAGGCGAGTGCTCTACCACTTGAGCCACAGTGCCACTGGAGAAGCTGGGGTGGCTGGTGGGAACGGGGCTCCCCGGACTGGCTCACCTCCGCCCGTTGTAGGAAGCTGCGTCTCCTCTCCCTGCTGCTGCTCGGCCTGTGGGGCGGGGCGGCCTGCCACGGGACGGCCGTGGACGACGTCTGCACGGCCAAGCCCCGGGACATCCCCGTGAACCCCATGTGCATTTACCGCGCCCCGGAGAAGAGGGCCACGGAGCCGGGGGGCCTGGAGAAGGAGAAGAGGGTCCCCGAGGCCACCAACCGCCGCGTGTGGGAGCTGTCCAGGGCCAACTCCCACTTCGCCACCACCTTCTATCAGCACCTGGCGGACTCCAAGAAGGACGACGACAACATTTTCCTGTCGCCCCTGAGCATCTCCACGGCGTTTGCGATGACCAAGCTGGGCGCCTGCAACGACACCCTGAAGCAGCTGATGGAGGTAAGGCCCGGAGCCCCTGCGCCCTCCGTGCGTCTGGGTTTCCAGAAACCGCGCTTCGGGGACCTGGGGCGCACCGCGCACCCCATGCAGTGCTTCGTGTGCAATGATTCCTTTATTGTTACTGTTTCCCATTCCTAGGACTTGAACTCAAGGCCTGGGCACTGTCCCTGAGCCTCGTTGTGCTCCAGGCTAGCACTCTACCACTGGAGCGACAGCGCCACTTCCAGTTTTTGGGTGATTAACTGGAGATAAGAGTCTCATGGGGACTTTCTGCCTGGGCTGGCTTCGAACCGCGATCCTCAGATGAGCCACCAGTGCCCCACTACACGAACCTTTTCAAAAAAGACCTTTTAAGTATCTATTAAGTACTTTTTTAAATGAGGGGAGGCCCGTGGGTCTTACAAGTTCTCTTTTTAGTCATTCTTTCCATTTCTGTATTTATTCATTCATTTCATCAGTCTTTCAGTTCTGTATTGTTCCAAGCAGTGTGAGGGGAGGTAGAAGCTTCCTGTTCCGGAAAGGAAAGAGCATTTACCATTTGGTGAGCTCAGGTTCTTGTGGATGAAGATTCTAGGATTCTATACCCGGGGCCCCAGGTCTTGGGAAGCCAAGATGTGAGAGTATTTTCTGGCTCTGGGAAGGATTTGTCATAGTGAGTCAGCTTTGCCTCTCTATCCAGCATCAAGAAGACTTTTCCCATTCCAGCAGGAAAGCATCTATGTATTGCACTGAAGCCCTTTCGAGATTGTAATTGGCATCCCATTTGATCTCCTTTATTTCTGTTTTCTCTTATGCTTCCTGCTCTTTATTTTTCTGTTATCTATTTATTTGCTTTAAAAACATAAGCCAAGGGCTGGGATGCAGCTCAGTGGCAAAGCGCTTGCCTAGCAAGTGCAATGTCCTGAGTTCAATCCCAGTACCAGAAAAATAGACAAAAAAAATACAGTTACAAAAACAAAAACCCAAACAAGAAACATAAGCGGAGCCAGGTGCTGGTGGCTCATGTTTGTAGCTATTCAGGAGGCTTGATATCTGAGGATCACAGTTCAAAGCCAGCCCAGCTAGTCTGTGAGACTCTTACCTCCAATTAAAAACTAGGAGCAGTGCTCTGGCTCAAAGTGGTAGAGTGCTAGCATTGAGCGAAAAAGCTCAGGGATAGCATCCAAGCCCGCAGTTCCAGCCCTATGACTGACAAAAAACAAAAGATAAAAAATAAAAACATAAGCTGAACATTTATGCTGCGCCGGGCACCGAATCGAAAGAGCGCACAGCCCAGGCGGCTGTGGAGCAGGAGGAACTCCACAGCCCTGTGGTCAACCACTCACCTTGACCATTTCGTTTGTTTGCTCCCTTAGGTTTTTAAGTTTAATACCATCTCTGAAAAAACATCTGATCAGATCCACTTCTTCTTCGCCAAACTGAACTGCCGACTCTATCGGAAAGCCAACCTATCCTCCCACTTGGTATCAGCCAACCGCCTTTTCGGAGACAAATCCCTTACCTTCAACGAGACCTACCAGGACATCAGTGAGGTGGTCTACGGAGCCAAGCTCCAGCCCCTGGACTTCAAGGTGAGTTGAAGCTTCATCCCTAATCTCGGAGTTCTTTCTCTTACACAGAAGTGCACTTCGATGCTAGCCAAAGACTGACAAAAGACTAACCACCAATCAGAACCCCTGAAATACCAGTTCTTAATTACAAGATCAGAAATAAAATGATATCTGTGGCTTAGATTATAAAGCCTGATCTGAAAAATAAGTAGATAATGAATTCCTCATTTCACCTACTTTGTTCAAATAGTTTCCAAAGGTTATTCAAGAAAGGAGGATGAATGAAATAATGTTTGGCACAGGGAAATAGAGAACCCAGTTGAATTGAATACAGGTGGTTAAATTTGTTTCCTATTCTCCTTAGGAAAATGCAGAAAAGTCTAGAGTGACCATCAACAATTGGGTGGCCAATAAGACTGAAGGCCGGATCACCAACGTCATTCCCCCAGACGCAATCAATGAGCTCACTGTCCTGGTGCTGGTTAACACCATTTACTTCAAGGTACTCAAAATGGCCCTGGAGAGACCACAGGGACTTCTTTTTGTACTTCAGCTTATCCTCTTTCATATCTCTGAGCATGTGTAGGAAGATCCCTTCTGAAAAACAGTCCATGCATAGTCTAGGCACAAATATAAATTTGCTGAGAACCCAGATTTTTGTGATGATGGCTGCTAGGCTCATGTTCAGAGAACTTAGGGCCCAGGGTGCAACAAAGTATGATACTCAGGAACAAACCCAGCATCTCTAGCTGTCAGGTATTAAGTGAGAAACTCATATATAGGAGAATATATATATATATATATATATAATATAAAATATAACATATATATATATATATATATATATTCTACCATTAAGTTAATTCCCTTGAGACCTGGGACAAAATGACAGAGTCTACTGAAATTCCTCAGTGGTGATTTCCCCCACTTTCTGGAACAGCCTTTACCGTGACTCCTAGTTACCCATGCCTGAAGCTTCAAAACTTGCAGGCTTACTTCCCCCAGACCTAGCAATGTCCCTGCTATCCGACCATGTTAGATGGCTTCATTTTTCTCAGAGATTCGGGAGTTCCAAAGACGATCCCAATTTGATCACATTGGGAAGGAGAAGGGAGGAGGGGTAGGAAGACACAGACTACTGACACTGGAGAGGACCACCAGGGAAAGGTGAACGGATCAGTGGCTTCCGCACAGATATGCATCTTTTCTCCTTTCCCTGTGGCTCAGAGCTTTGCCAGCACTGCTGCTGCCAAACCAGCTGTCCCTCAGGAGAATTCTCCCTCCCCAAGAACAGAGTGGCCTGCATATCCAGAATGCATTACCCTTTAAGTTTACACAATTCACTGTTTATGAGTCCTTGTCTTCCTCACAACATCACAAATGAGAACCTGAATCACTCATACCAAATTGTGTGTATGTGTGTGTGTGCGTGCACTTGTGCACATGCGCATGCGTGCATGCGTGCTAGTACTGGGGCTTGAACTCAGGGCCTCATGCGCTCAGTTTTTTTTGTTTGTTTTTGCTCAAGGCTGACACTCTACCACTTGAGCTGAAGAACCTCCAGTTCTGGCTTTTTGTTGGTAATTGGAGATAAGCGTCTCATAGATTTGTCTGCCCTGGCTGGATGACTTTGAATCTCTATCCTCAAATCTCAGCCTTCTGAGTAGCTAGGATTACAGATGTGAGCCACTGGTACCCTGCCCAAATTGTTTAATTGTAGGTCCTTCCTCACCTGAGTGTGAGAATCTGTGTTGAGTCACCTGGGGTTTTTCCATGCCCCAATTTCTGCATCTATAAAATGGTAATTTTAAGCTTCTGAGCATTACCCATAGGATTACTGCAAAGACTAAGTGAATGAATATAAAATACCTGTATCTCCAGTGTTTTTCTTATTATGTATTTATTTTTGCTGGTCCTGGGGCTTGAACTCAAGGCCTGGGCTCTGTCCCTCAGCTGTTTTGCACTCTACCACTTTGAACCACAGTGCTACATCAGTTTTTTGTTTTTTTTTTTTGTCAGTCATAGTGCTTGAACTCTGGGCCTGGGCGCTGTCCCTCAGCTCTTCAGCTCAAGGCTAGCACTCTACCACTTGAGCCACAGCTCCACTTCCAGCTTTCTATACATATATGGTGCTGAGGAATCGAACCCAGGGCCTCATGCATGTGAGACAAGCACTCTACCACTAAGCTACCGTCCCAGCCCCTACTTGCAGATTTTGAGTGATAAAAGTTTTTGGATATAAAGAGTCTCACAGGGACTTTTTTGCTCAGGCTGTCCTTGAACTGTGATCCTCAGATCTCAGCCTCCTGAGTAGCTGGATTATAGGCATGAGCCACCTGTGTTTGGCTTATATATACATTATTAATGTAATAAAATAGTGAGTATGGACCACATCATTCGCCTATGAATGGTTTTGTTTTCCTGCTCTCTGATGTGTATCTTCTTCCAGGGTCTGTGGAAGTCAAAGTTCAGTCCTGAGAACACAAAGCAGGAGAAGTTCTACAAGGGGGATGATAAGTCGTGTTCAGTGTCTATGATGTATCAGGAAGGCAAATTCCGGTACCGGCGAGTGGCTGAAGGCACCCAAGTGCTGGAGCTTCCCTTCAAAGGTGATGACATCACCATGGTGCTCATCCTGCCAAAGCCTGAGAAGAACCTGGCCAAGGTGGAACAGGAGCTCACCCCAGAGCTGCTGCAGGAGTGGCTGGACAGCCTGGAGGAGATGATGCTGGTGGCGCACGTGCCGCGCTTCCGCGTGGAAGACAGCTTCAGTCTGAAGGAGCACCTGCAGGACATGGGTCTTGTGGACCTTTTCAACCCTGAGAAGTCCCACCTCCCAGGTTGGTATCCATCTGTGCCTCCTCTCTTTACCCCAAGAAGCTCTGACCAGAGTGAAAGAATTCAAAAAAGAAGACAAAATAACAAAGTAGCCCAAGATACCCAGATTCGGATCCCAGCTGTACTGCTAACTTACAGAAATCCTTGCCCCTTTTGAAACTTTTGTTTCCTCTGTAAAAGAAGGGATCTGCTCTTTGGACCATTGCTCACCCAACCAGCAAGGGCACCTTAAGTGTCTGTATCTGATAGAGGATGCAGTCACTGAAATTCACAACAGAGAGAAGCAGGATGCAGTAGTTCACACTTGCAGTCTAGCTTTCAAAGGCTGTGGTGGAAGGAGCAGGAACTTGAAGCTGAGTCTCTCTAAAAAGACTTGTTGGACTGGGAAGGTGGCTCAGTGGTAGAGCGCTTGCCTTGCATGCATGAGGCCCTGGGTTCGATTCCTCAGCACCACATAAGCAAAGAGAAAAAAGCCAGAAGTGGCGCTGTGGCTCAAGTGGTAGAGTGCTAGCCTTTTGCTGAAGAGTCCAGGGACAGAGCCCAGGCCCAGATTTCAAACCCCATGGTGGGGGGGAAAGAAGAAGAAAAGGAAAGAAAAAGAAAAAAGAAAGAAAATGCTGGAAGTAGTGCTGTGGCTCAAGTGGTAGAATGCTAGCCTTGAGCAAAAAAGTTCAGACACAGTGCATAGGCCCTGAGTCCAAGCCCCAGGACTGGCCAAAAAAAAAAAAAAAAAGACTAGAAGTATATAGCTCAAGTGATGTAAGGCTTTTCTAGCATGTGTGAGGTCCTGGGCTCAATCTTCAGGACCAATCAATCAATAAATTGTAGTTAGAGTATCTTCAAAATAAGAAATTTGTACCACTTGGACTTTACTGGGCTGACTTTAATCCAGTTCTAAAGTTAGCCCTTCTTTTAAAAATATTTCCACACCTTATTAAGCCAGGTGCCAAAAAAAGGAAAGGAAATAACCCTTCTTCTTTCTTTAAGAACAGAGACCACTTTACCCCCTTGAAAGAGCTGAAGCATGAGATTAAATTCATGTGAGTAAGCTCGGAGTACTTATTATTTTAATGAGTATTCATTATGGGATCTCCTCAGGTCAGGATCCCCAGGATTTCTAATTTTCAACAGAGACCCAAAGACCTCCTGTGGGTGGGAAGGAGCCGGAGCCTTCCATTTCAGAGCCTCCTCTGGTCTTCTTTGCAGGTATTGTTGCAGAAGGCAGGAATGACCTTTATGTGTCTGACGCATTTCACAAGGCATTTCTTGAGGTGAGTGTGTCTTTATGTTTCAAGGCATGGATACTTCATATGATTCACGACTCTGGCCTTCTTGCTGCACTCATTCTTATGGTATAGACAGATATCAGATGCATGAACAGCAGGATACTACGGGGGAAGAGGCATGTTTCCAGTGTCTTAACTTCCCAATCTGTAGCCCTCTGCTCCATGAGGCCTGCTCTGGTATGGTCCTCTGTGGAGACCCTCATGGTCTGGCTGGTCTACCTGGTACCCTGCTAGCACCTCTCCTGTAGCAGGACTCTTAGAGGAGGATGGCAAAGGGAAAGGAACCACTAAGAAGGAATTCATTTAAGAAAATGGAAAGCTGGGAACTGGTGGCTCACACCTGTAATCCTAGCCACTTAGGAGGCTGAGATCTGAGGATCACAGTTCAAAGCCAGATTTAAGAGGAAAGTCTATGAGACTCTTATCTCCAACTAACCACCAGAATACAAGTGGTGCTGTGGCTCAAAGTGGTAAAGTGCTAGCCTTGAGCAAAAGCTCAGGGACAGTGCCAAGGACCTGAGTTTAAGCCCCATGACCACCACCACCACCACCAAAAAGCATTTAGTGAGACTGAAAGGGGACACAGTTTACCTTTTCCTGAATTTGGACAAAATGGAATGTGTGTGTGAGATTAATGGTAAAGGTTGAAAAGCAAATGAAAGGTAAGAAAGAGGATCTGGTAGCTAGCTGAACGATGGGGGCTCGTGCCTGTAATCCTGATGAGTTAGGAATCTGAGATCTGGAGGTTCATGGTTTGGGGCCTGCCTAGGCAGAAAAGTCTTCGAGACTACCTCTCAAAAAACCAGGCTGGAGTTGTGGTTCAAGTGGTAGAATACTGGCTGTAAGCAAGAAAGCTGAATGAGAGTGTGAGGTTCTGAGAAGTAACTCAAAACAACAGCAACCTCCCACCCCAGCATTGCTGGTACTGGTGTATGTAGATCATGTGATGGAGAAGTACAGTAGTAGACCACACTGCAGAAAATGAGTAAGGTGGGTACATTAAGCTCTCCTGTAATGATTTAACAATGCACACTGGTGTGCTGAGGTCTGAGGAGTTCTACAGTGAAGCACGGAGGAATCCCAGGGAGCCTTAGGTAACAGACAGCTGATGCGACTTCTAGTTCTCCAACACTCAACTATGGGCCAGGATCATTAATCATCTGGGGATCTTCACGCTTGGAAATCTTAGCATTAGGCCTATGCATCTCTGTTTACGAGCTCTTCAGGGATTCTAATGCACAGGTGGAATTGGAAATCATGGTGTGGACTGTTCTTTGTGGAAGCCAAGGCTGAGTGAGAAAGGAAAGGGGTCAAATATTGTGAAGCTTATAGGATGAGGAGATTGGCAGGAAAAAAAAGAGAATTTATTGTTACCAAGGAGAAATATTTCAGGGTATGGTGTCAGTAAACATAATTCCAGAGTCCAAGCTCAGTGAGAACTGTTTGGTTAAAGAAAAGTGGAAGGATCAGGGACAGGAGGAAGTCAGGAAGGAGACTCCAGGACCCTGACTGAGCTGTGCTCTGTTCATAAGTTTAGACCTAGAATGAGCCTCGGATAGATAACATGGGGGAAAAGAGGGTCAAGAAGAGCAAGGAAGAGGTGGGGTGGGGGGGAATCTTCATTAATCAACCAAGAAAAAAAAAAAGATGAACAGAGTGATACTCTGTGTCATTAGATAACGTTTTCTGAAAGGAGACACTTTGCTTCCCTTTCAACGCGTGTCAGTTCTACCCTACCAGTCAAGGTCGATACCACTGATGCGGTTTATGACTCCAAGAAAAAAAAAATCACATCTAGATGAAGGGCCATGTTCTTTTCATCTTCATCAGCCTTATTTAGGTCTCAGTAGCTGCCTGGGTTGATAGCTGGGATTTTGATGCTCTACAACTATTTCAGCAATCAAGCTCTAGTCTCAAGTCAATCTCTTTTAGAGACGTCCCGTTCAGGGGCCCTGTGGGGAATGTGACTGTCTCTAGTGCATGAAGATCTGTCTCAGGGTTGTGTGAGAGGGGCTCTTGCACAGCTTCGATAAACACATGAGCATTACATTCAGTGGATCAACGAATAAATACAGAAGGGTTTACAGGGAGCCCCATCTTACCCAAGTCTATTTGTTACTGGAAAACCAAAGGCCTTGTGAAGAGCTACCGAGTGTGTGGATGATTGGCCTGCCTACGGTGAACCACAGAGTGGCTCATACAGCCGTTTTGTTTCTTGTGACCTGCAGGTAAATGAGGAAGGCAGCGAGGCCTCTGCGAGCACTGCCATCATGATTGCGGGCCGCTCGCTGAACCCCAACAGAGTGACCTTCAGGGCCAACAGGCCCTTCCTGGTTTTGATCAGAGAAGTGACTCTGAACACTATTGTCTTCATGGGAAGAATAGCCAACCCTTGTGGTAACTAAAGTATTCTCTTTGCATCTCTTCTTATTTCTGTTGGTGAATAGAAGTAAAAATAAATACTACTTCCACCTCACAGTGATGAATGGAATTTACCACCTGAAATGGAAAAGGACAAGCGTGCTATTGGGGCACTAGGTAAAAAAAGATGCTTTCCGTTTCTCTCCCCAGGGACCACACCTGGGTCAAGAAAATGAGAGAATTTTAAAAAATTACATTAAAAAAAGGAAACGAGGGGAAATGTGGTAGTGCCTATCTGTAATTCTCCATACTCAGAAGGCAGGATCAGAGCACTTCAAGTTTGAGTTCTGCATGGGCTATACATGAGTTCCAGGCCATTCTGGCCTCCTGGAGGGAGCGGTGATGGAAGAAAGAGGTATGTTGGTATTCCATCCTGAGGGATGGTGGATGTCCTGAGAGGGTAGGAGAGTCAATTCTCAGTATTTTCATCACACTAAAAACTTCCAAAAACTGTTCACGAGTTCATCTCTATTAACAGAAAAGACAAAGTCCGAATATTAAATCATTTATTTCTCAAACCACTCACATGCATAATGTTCTTTTATACAGTGTTAAAATAAAGAGGAAATGCATTTTTATACAAACAGAATTTCAAGTATACATTAATAGACTTTTTAGATTACTAACAAAGTTGCTAAGGTTCCATTCACATTGTTTTTAAAGCTGTTCAACGAGAAAGCTTTTGCTAAACGGCTTTAAATATGTTTATATAAACCCATATCTTAACTCTTTCTTTGAATCTCCCTCCCCCAACCCCAGTCTTGGCCCACCCTCCTGCCCTCCCCGCTCCCCAACACAACAGGGCTCTAGGAGACATGCCACCTCTCCAAGGACTATTGGCTTGTCTTCAGGGGAAGGAGCGAATCTACAGGAGGAGAGTCTGAGAACACCTGCCACGTTAGGGGAGAAGCGAGCTGATGCTCAGGGTCAGCACAAGTCTGCTTGGGCCTGCAGAGCTTTGTGTTTGACTTTTCATCAGAAAGTCTCAGCCTCCCACAAAACTTCATGGAAATTCCTGCAATTTGGTCAGTAAGACGATAATATAAGATTAGGTCACTTTTCCCCCAGTAAAGCTTCCAAAATTAGAGCAGGTATTTTGAACTTAAAAAAAAATTTAGTGGTTGTTTCTTTTTTCCTTTGGCAGGGCTTGGGTGGGGGCAGCTTACAAATGGATGTCACTTTGTGTTAACATTAAGAAATTGGGTTAATTTTACAGGGATTGATGAAAAGTTCTCCCTCTTTAACTCTCCTCCTGAAGTAATCTGGCTTCAGGGCCAGAACAGCCACTCTCCTTAGGAATTAAAGTGCATTTTTTTCAGTAAGGGGGAGGGGGAGAGGTGAAGTTTACACTTACGTGATGGTTAAACGGGGAGGGGGTGAGAGAAAATCCTATTCCTATATATAGGTATTTATAATTAAGGTCATAATAGAAACAGGTAATCTTAGGAATAAGATGCATAAAGTCAGTCTAGCATCTGTGCTAAGAGCGTGGTCCTCGCTCATAGACTTTTTCGAGGCATCTTTGCTATTAATGGAGTAATTGCTGCAGATAAAAGACAAATCTCAAATGTTAGCTTTTCTTCAAAGGGAAAGAAACAGACTAGTAGGTTCTTATAGTTAAAAATACTCTAACCCATTCCCTTTAAGGGATAACATTTTAGAAATTGATTGTCTTTTTAATAGGAATTCTTCTTGATTGGCAAGTTGTGAAAAATTGTTGTTAGGTAAGTTTGCTGCTTACGAATCTCTCTGTAGCCTTTAGAAACCCAGGAAGAGGCAGGCACAGTTGATTCTGTGAATCAGCATCAACAGAGAGGGTGGTGAAATCTTCCTATATCTCTTTGATAGCTCCCACCAGAGTCTTATTTTACAATTTACTTTAAATGCTTTACTGTTTCTGGGGAAAACTTTATGTTTCCCAACGAGAAGTAAATGCTACATTATCAGCTGTATGACAAAGAGATGGGCTCAAGGTGAGGAGGGGGAACGTGACCTGGATTCTGGCCTCTGAGTCCAGTGTGAGCTGCTTTTCACAGTGACCAGTGGGAAGGCACAGTGCCAGGGACAGGCAGAAGCTGTCACCCATCTTATAAGCACCATAGAGAACAGCTGGACAGATTTCCTTCAGACCTAGTCCATCTGAAGGAAACCAAATTTCTGCTACATTGACTTTCCTCTTTGAACCCTCGACCTTCTCTTTGCCTCTTGGAGGCAGGTTATCAGTGAGTCCCATCTTTAAGTGATGAGGAACCAGGAAATCTAAATGCTCTTCCAATGTACCTCTCCCTTCACTTAGGTAGGCTGAGATGCCAGAAGTCCCAAGTTGGGATTTTAAGATTTTTAAAGAGGAAGGAAGCCATTGGTTCCTGACTGAACTGGCAAAGCCATGTAAGTTTTGCCATCAGAGCACAGAATACTGCAACAGGTTAAAACTGAACACAGATCACAGCAAATGAAAAGCTACTGAGCTGAGCGACACATGTCCTCTGCTTATGGTTTGGGAGTGCTTGCTTTCCTTTTATTAAGGGTAGCGGATGGGGCAGGTAGGGAGACTGCAGTCAGCGTAGCATGTTTAGCTGTTTCAGAGAGGATTCCCTAAGAGTCTCAATAAGCCAATGCATTAGGGCATTTGAAAATGACTTAAGTTCACAGTCCTGGTAGGGAATTCCTAATAGGGATTTTTTTCTTCTTTGCGCAAAATATACTACACATTTATATATTTATCTTTTACTATTACTTTCCCATGCTTCTCTTCTCTCTATTCTCCAAAAACTTAACATCCAGTGTGGTATAATTTGCATGAAATTAACAATGCTTCACAGTACTCCACAAAGTTCCTCAGCATGAAAACCCAAGGGGCTGCTCTCTGAGAGTCCCAAAGGCTATTGCTTTTCTAGTCTACTAACAAGATGCCTTTGCAAATTTTCTAATGTCCTCTGACGCTGCAGCATTTACATGCTAAGCAACCAGGTCTAATCTACCTTAACATTTTTTCATAGTCCGAGGCCAATTTAGTCCTCTGTGCTAACCAGATTTTCCCTCAACCTACATTAATTATTTGAAGTTCAAATGATCGATTACTTATCGACAATATATGATTTTTTTAATGGTATCCAGAATACTCTCAAAATAAAGCCTGCTACAACGAACTTGTTTTTAAACACATATTTCTTCTGAAGTTAGAGGTCACTTAGGTAGCTAGTTAGAACAGTGGTTCTCACTTCAATGGTTAATGAAACAATTGTTCCCTTCCCATTATACGTGCAAGGTATGATAGGCAGTTAACAAACTGTCACAACCATTAAAATATCTTTACTACCTAGGGTGAGAAAAGTGGAAAGTATGGGTGTCATTTGGGAATTACTGGGCTAGGTATCTTGACATCCTTGAACAAAGATGCTAAAATGATTCATTTCACATATTAAAAAAATTTAAGCCTTAGCTAGTTCATTTCATTAAGAATCAAACAGCCAAGGGAAAATGAGTCACTTGACACAGAAATCCCACTGAGAAGACACACTAAAAGACGATCAAATGTATTATGAGCACCTCTTTCAAGACCCTTCTCCATTAATTTTCACAATGCTATCTGTTCGTTTTAAAATAGGAATCACCATAGGCAGTTTTGGGCTTGGCTCTTTTAATACATTCAAGTGTCTATTACAGCTAGCAGAGATGAAATCTCTACTCAAATCACATATACAAAGGGAAGAGACTCCTAGAGAACAACCCTTGACAATTTGTTTTGCTTACTTACTCACTTTGTTATTTGGTATAGAGATGGATGAATCGCAGCACCTCCCTCCAGAATTACTCTAAGAAATGGATGATCCATTTTATCACTTATCAACCTGAAAGAGAGCGCCATGTCTGGGCTCTCAATCAGCATAGTTTATGTGAAGAGAAGGAGCTTGAGGTTAGCCTGCTAAAGACCACAAAGGATTACCAAGGAAACCCTGACTGCACATTAGATTCATCTAAGCAATTATTTTTTTCTTTCTGGGTGTTGGGATTGAATCCAACGCCTTGCACATGAGAAGCACAAGCTGCACAACTGAACTACACCCGTCCAACCCTTAGAAAGTATTTCAAAATTCAGGTTGTTCAACAGACCAATTAAACATGAACGTCTACAGGGGGTCCCAAGCAACATTAATGTACAGCCAAGATAGAGAAATACTAGCATAGGTCAACTGGTAATAGAAATCAGTAAGACCAGTGTTTAACCAAGCAAGAACAAATAAAGAATCTATGGCTTCCTTCAAGAGTTATGAATTTAACATGCGTTATTAAGTTGCCTAGACGTTTACTATATTTTTAATTAAATCATTTGATCAGAACAGGCAGCAACACCAACAGTAAAGTACTGATTTAGGTAAGACTATACCATAAGTGTGTGTATATCAAGAAACCAGGGGGCAGACCTAAGTCAAGACTCTCGGAGTAAACAATAAACCAGAGGGAAAACTTTCCTAAAGAAGAGTTGATTTCTGAGTTTAGAGTATCAGCATGGCTAGCAAAATGGGAACTAGTCCATGGTTAAACAGAATAAAGTTTTGATGAATAGATTCACGTGATTTACCACATCATCTCTCAACAAGATTGGTACTACAGTCCAGCAGAAACTATCAGTCACTATGGTTAACGCTCATCTCCTTATTTGGAATATCATATTGTCTGTATACCCACTCGCCCAACCTAAAGCTGCAAGGAAAACAAATGTTGTAATTATCTAAAACATAGGGAGCAACCTCTAAAAACCTGAAAATGGATTTCTTTTTAATTTCCTCTCCTAACCAGAGAATCCCTGCTTGGACATTACAGCCAGTCAGGGTATTAGAACGCTGAAAAGTGCTCTAAGATAATCTACAAGGCCACAGTCCCTCCTTAGCTCCAACAGACAGTCAAAAGGGAAGGAAGCTGACCAGGCAGGCTCAGTGTACTCATGCCCCCCAACTCAGCTGAGCGCTATACTGGAAGATAGCACTCAAGATAGTTCAAGATTAGGTGGTCACAAGTGCTCACACAGGGGTAATGTTTGGGAGATGCAGCCAGGGAGAGGATCAAGGGGGGAAAGTAAAGCAAGATTTAAGGATATGAGTGAAATAGGTGATACACATA